CGCCAGGATTGTTTGAGCCACATGACTTTTATTTCAAACGCAGATGGAAGCAAGTTCAGTATATTGCTGAACTTTTTTGGAAACGTTGGGTACGGGAATATTGCTGCAAGAGAGGCAAAAATGGAATGAAATCAGGAGAAATCTAAAGCCTGGAGATATTGTTGTTATTATTGATCCTACTGCCCCACGAGGCTCTTGGCCACTGGGAAGAGTGTTGGAAGCTTCCCGGGATCAAAAGGTATTTGTGCGTTCAGTGCGTCTGCAAACAAAGTCAAGTGTCATTCAACGTCCTGTAACAAAGCTCTGCCTGTTGCTTGAGGCTGCAGGTTAAATGGGCAATTTCAGTGTTAATGTGAACTCACTGGAACTAAAATGTTGGATAATATGTTACGACAGGTTGGTAATAGCTCCTTAATTTGTTTTGTTTTGAATTGTAATGTTTGTTAACCATTCCAATTGGGGGCCGGTTGTGTAAAAGCCATTTCAATGTTTATGTCCAGGTTTGGCCAATAGGTGGCACTAGGGTCATGGCATAGCTATTGGGGCTCATCTACTTAGGAGGGTAGCTGTAATCAGGGACAGGTGTTGCCAGAGGGGAAAGGGCCAACTAGTTTTTGACCGCCACCGAGGCTGTGGTTGGATGCTTGATACTGTGACTGTGTTGGTGAAGATGGAATATTGTTCCGTTATGGAAAATGAAAACCTTGTGTAAATCCAATAAATCATATCTCTCACGACAGAGAAGAAAACAGAACTTTAACTCTTGTTGCATTACTGAATCAAAACTAAGCGACCACGGTAAGCGCGTCAACTAGCCTACTTCAACCCTCTGCATAACCCTCAGCTGTTTTAAGCTTAGGCTTAGCGGTTACAAATGCAATTATAAAAATATTGATAATAGCATATAGTTTATTAATAATACTATAATAATAGCAATAGAATAAGAATAAGAATCTTTTTGTTAAATTTCAGTTTTATTGGTCAGTAATAGCCATTATAACAGAAGTAGCTTCAGTCAAACATACAGCAGGATACAACGTTAAAATAGCCTAAATATAAAGTTATGAAACTTCACTTTGCCCTCAGCCAAAGCGATTTACCAGGGAACCATTTATAGATTAATGAGACCAAAGATCGCCCGTTAGATATACACAAGAAAGACGAATTATATCTCATGTTTAACCACTAGACTAGAGACAGCCGAGCCAGCGGCAAACGTCAGAAGCACTAGCCGAGGTACGGCTGTTCCAGGCGGGGTAGACGAGCGCTGAGCGCCCGGTGATAGCGTCTTACAACTCCGAAAACGTCAGATCAAATTTTTAAATAGGCGCTCTCTTTATAAACAAACCACATATTTGAGCTTTAAACAACTACATTGCCGACATTTCGTGACACAATAACAGTAGTATTTTTAAATTTATCCTCTGAATATTATCCTATTACTAATTAAATCATGACCAATTACAACCAAAAACAAACGTTCAGTCTTGCTTGTGAAAGGTAATTCCTCGAAAGCTGTTTTCAATTGTGTGGCGATTTGTACAGCCCCAAGCAGCGCACAAAACAGGCATTTTCTCAATTCCCGGTATGAGAGGTATGGGAAAGTTGCCATCCCCAATATGGCGGCGCCGTTAGTAGTCTTTATGAGGGAGCTTCTGTCAAAAATGATTTATGACCCTAAATATGATTTTTATGACAGTTTATGATTTATGATTATGATTTATGATTATGAAATATTTATGACAGGATGTGTAGTAGGGAGGGGGTTTTATGACCACCAGATGGTATGTGAACTTTTGACCCCGACCATGTGTTTCCGGAGTTTATGGCTATGTGTGTGTGTGTGTGTGTGTGTGTGTGTGTGTGTGTTTATGACGGGGCAATTTGCTTGGTGTGACTGAGAGGAATGTTTTTTCAGGGAAAGTTTTTATTATATCAGGATAATGTTCACAGAACGCCGAAATTATGAACATGAAGAGGTCTGACACGGATTTTCAGCTGGCACTGCATCATCCATATTGTCTGCTGGGGAGAATGAAACAAAATGAGTTTAAAGAAATAGCATTGATGACAAATAAAAGCTTATAAAATAAAACTTCATTATATATTTTAAAGCAAAGTTTTAAAACAACTCTTGAAATTAATGAGGAGGTATTTATGCGTCTATCTGGTTAGTCACAGACTCTTAAACCTTTCTGATCAGATGAAATGTCACAAAAATGAGTTTAAAGAAATAGCATTGTGCTTGAATAAAGCACATAAATAGTGATTAATTTTATTAAACATTTAAAGTAAGTTTTAACATGTGCTGAACTTAATTAGATATCCTTTATGCGTCTGAATATTGTTGCGGATTCTTAAGTCTTTCTGAGCAGATGAAATATCACAAACAGTTTTAAGAAATGAAAAGCACTGTGCTCGAATAAAATACATGAATAGTTATTAAATGAAGTAAGATGTTGAATTGACTATAAGCATTTTAATCAAATACACCCCAATATACTGTCTTAAATAAAACGGTGAATAACAGTTCATTATTTGAAACAATATGTCGAATTGACTATAAGCATTTTAATATATACATCAGTGGTATAGGGTCTTACGCAGATCAATAAAATAGTGAATAATAGTTTATATTATTTTAAATAAGATGTTAAATTATCATGTATTTTAATCTAATACAACACAATATAATACATCACAATATGCTGTTTTACACCAATAAATAAAATAGTGAATAATAGTTGATATTATATGAAATAAAGTTAAATTATCAAGTATTTTAATCTAATACACCACAAAATACTGGCTTACACAGATCAATAATAGTGGTGAATAATAGTTATATAATATTAGTTATATAATAGTAATGAATTATAGTTCACATTATTATGGTTATATAATATATAATAAGAGGTTAAATTATCCACAATATATGGTTTTACAAAGTTAAATAAAACATAAAATAGTGAAAATAGTTTGTACTATTTGAAATAAGATGCTAATTATCAGGTATATATGCATTTTAATATAATACGCACAATATACTTTCTTATACACCGATAAATAAAATAGTGAATAATAGTTGATATTATATGAAATAAGATTCTAAATTATTACGTATTTTATTCTAATACACCACGAAATACTGCCTTACATAGATAAATAAAAACATAAAATAGCGAATAATAGTTGATATATTATATTAAATAAGTTGTTAAATTACCAAGTATACACATTTTAATCTAATACAGGTTCCTAGGTTCCAATATTCTATTGCATCTTCACTTCACTGACCACTATGTTGTCTGTTGTCTGCAATATACTGACTTACATAGATAAATAAAACATATAAATTAGTGAAACATATTATTTTAAACAAACTGTTAAATTACCAAGTACACAAACTTGAATCTAATACACACGAAATACGACCTTACACAGATAAATAAAACATATAATATAGTGAATAAGAGTTCATATTATTTGAAATAAGATATTAAATTATAAAGTATAAGCATTTTAATCTAATGCACAACAATATACTGCCTTACACAGATAAATAAATATATAAAACAGTGTTTATACGAAATAAGATGACATTTTATTAAGTATTTAAAACTAGTTTTAAACGTATGTTGAAGTGTACCTACCATTGGTGAAATTAGGAGGTCTTTTTGGCTCTGGTTAAAATCACAGATCCTTGAATTTCTGAGGTGTTTGCTCTCCGTTTGCTAAATTGAAAATGAAGATCGCTTCCATCATGTCCGGGGCAAGGGTCCGCCCCTTCCTCTCCGTGTAGCTGCTATCTTATGCTAGGTAATAGCATTAGCAGTTTGTTTCAGAAAACATCAAGCAATTAAAAGATAGTGCAGCCACATGGTGTTTTACAATCAAAGACCACAACTGTCTCCAACCATAAAATCTTCTGATCTGAAGAATTCCTGTCTGGCGGGGAGACCCCAAAATGGGGCCATTTTGACACTTCACACGGACCAGGCTGTAAGATCAATATAATTAGATGTTTATACCGGCGTCTTCAGGAAAAAGTCAAAACAAAATGGTCGCAAAGTTACATATTATATAGCCTACTCTTATCCATTGATTGTGATGATAAGATAAATTGTCCTTATTTCCTGGGGAGTTGTCCCCATCCTGTTTTTCTTGACACCTCAATGACTCCTTTTGAAGAGCAGGTTTATTTTTCTAACATTTAAACTTACACATTAGAACACCCTCTGACTTTATGAATACACATAAATGACATCTTAATGATTTTCTATATTTTTGTGCATTTATTTAAAGTATGCATGCGGGCATACCATTCTGACACTAGTGATACCTTACTTCTTTGATAATATTAAAGGTTTTATGAAATATTATTTCTAATTTTTTCAGCACATGTAGTCAGAGTCACAGAAAATAATATCAGTGCAACAAATAAGGAGATTATGTTTTATTTATTTTGATCAGGTTTGTTAAAAGTATGCCTGAATGATGTTAGTTAATCTGCACTGATGATGCATTCCTTTAAATCTTAACTTTGAGAACATCAGAATTAAATGGATGTAAAATTATTATCATGTCACATGTGACATTAACATGACAGAAAAGACAGTAACACCAATGACACAACGAATCACCAATGCCACACATAAGACCATAATTAGATGAGACTAAATTGTTACATTTGGTATACAATCTAAATGAATAGCTATGAATAGTTTATCTTTAAATGGGGATTTTACTTAACAGTATCTGCTCAAAACGGAGCTTAAGACGGAGGTTCTGCCTAGTCAAAGACAGGGTAAGAAGACGGAGTTGTACAAGGCCTGGGTTATCGTCAACAAGACCAACAACTGTATTCTGACTGCAAACTGCACCTGTATGGCTGGGTATGTAACATAACACATTTATGAAATATTACATTTTATTATTATTTATCCAACCCAGTATTTGTCAGTAAGGTAATCTAACTCAATTTCACTGCTTATTTGCTGAAATCATACAGCTGCTATTGACATGTATAGCCTAATGCACCACTTACACCAATGTGTTTCATTCATTAGATAGCTAGGAATAAATCATTTTGTGCAGGTTAGGGTCATGCTGCAGCCATGCAGCTGCCCTTATGTTTAAAGTTGAGCTGTGGGTCAGGATGGGAAAGACGGAGAAGTGTTGTACTTCAGGGACAAATATGTGGCTCCACTCATCCAAGAGAGAGGTGAAGCCAGCCAGACTGAGTAAGATCAGCTTCAGAAAGCCTAAGAGGACAGACACCCAACTGCAGCCAGCCAGAGCAAAGCGTAGAAAGAACAATGTGAAAGGTAGACACAATCTGAATTTAGACAAGATCAGGCCATGTACATATAACAAGTTAACAGCAGGTATAAATGATCTATTTATAATCTTATATTTATAACTTTTTTTAAGCCATTACTATCACGTCATTCATATAAAAATGTTATAACCAGCACCAAGGTACCATTTATAACATATGTAACCAGCTGTAGTTGCAATTTGTATTAAAATAAGTTATCTAACTTATATTTTATTGTGTATTTAGAGCTGACAGATGAAGACATAGCATAATATATTTATAACCTTATATTTATAACTTTTTATTAAGCCATTACTATCACGTCATTCATATAAAAATGTTATAACCAGCACCATAACATATGTAACCAGCTGTAGTTGCAATTTGTATTAAAATAAATGTGTATTTAGAGCTGACAGATGAAGACATAGCAGATCTGAAAGTCTTGGCACCTAACGCAGCTGTGCTTACTAGCATGGACTTCAGTGACACTGATTCTGCATCCGAATCCGACACAGAGACCGGAGACCTGCCAGAGCCACTGGTAGCTCTGTATGATGTCACTCTGAGAGGCCTCTGCCCAAATAAAATACAAGAGAGAAGTGAAGATACCTTTGCAAAACTGGGGCGAGAATTAACTAACGAGCAGTGTGTGAACCTTGAGTTTACAACTAGAAACCAGTCCCAGTCTCAGGCCTGGCACACACACAGAACTGGCAGGATAACAAGCACAACCCTACATCGTGTCTGCACTGTAGAAACCGAAAAGGCAAAAACAAACCTTGTAAAACAGGTTATGCACTACAGCAATCAGGACTTGTCCCATGTCCCAGCAGTACTTTGGGGAAGAGATATGGAGGACACAGCCAGGAGACAATACACAGAAATAATGAAAACACAACATCACAACTTTGACGTGGAACTCTGTGGTCTTGTTGTGAGGTCTGACAAACCACATCTTGGGGCATCGCCGGATGGAATGGCACACTGTACCTGCTGTGGGAAAGCAGCTGTAGAGATTAAGTGTCCATACAAATACCGTGATGGTCTGATGGGCAGCAGTGAGGACACACAGTTCTGCTTAGACAAAGCACTACACCTAAAGAGGAATCATGAATACTATCATCAAGTTCAACTTCACATGTTTGTATGCAACATCCAGTACTGTGACTTCGTAGTGTGGACAAAGCAAGATGTCACTATCAATCGCATCAACAGAGATGAAGAAATGCTGCAAGCAGTCCTGCCGAAAGCTGAAGTGTTCTTCAAACAGTGTGTTTTGCCTGAGCTGTTAACGCGCCGCATGGATCCACTGATGCAAGCACCTACAGTCTGCCCACACTGTGAAAGACCAGACTTTGGGATGATGATTGACTGTGCAAAGTGCAAGAACCATTTCCACTACACATGCGCCAGAGTAAGGAGAAAGGTTGTGGAGTGGTACTGTGAACAGTGCAAAAATTAATGAGTCAGAATGAAGTGTAAATAGAAACAAATTATTTAATACACACTAGTATTTTACATCGAAGCACAATCAAAAAAAAAAAAATGTACAGCAATAATTATTACCAATATAATAATAATAAATATAATATAAAAATGTATACAGAAAATCTGATTATCTGTATTAATTGTTCTTCTATTTTATTTATGTTTTGAGTCTGCCCTTTTTTTTACTTGGCAAGGCTGCTATCACTATATCAGTTTGGTTTTGATAATACTGTTTTCTCTGACATTTTCATTTGGACTATGTTAATATGTTTGTTTTGTTTTTTTCAAATTAATTACATTTTTGTAGTTATTGTTAAAATTATTATATATATATATATATATTATATGTACATATGTATATTATTACTCATAGTCTATTAATGTAATTTACTTAATTGTTCAGTGATCCTTCTCTGTTTTGTTGCGGTCACCACCACCTAAAAAATAATAATTAAAAAAAAAAAGCTAACCACTCCAAGTTATCTTCTTGGGACTATGCATTTACAGAGGTTTGTTAATGCTCCACACACAATCACCATGTCATCTAAGAGGTCAACCTGTGTGAGTGGAATAACAGTTGTCAGAATTTTGAAGTTTTTCCATCTACCAATTACTCTTTCAATGTGTATTCTCACATTAGACAAACGCCTTGATGTGTCAACTTCTTGAGCAGAGAGCTGCTTCCTACCTTTGGTAAAGTGAGGGATCTTAAGGGTGGCACCGCGTGTGGCAAGCTCATCTCTGATGGTAAAACCACGATCTGCTAGAATCTCATCATTATGCTCTAGAAGGTCATAAAATCCAGACTCTGCTGTAATTTGTTTATCGGAAACACGCCCGCCCCAACCTGCCGACAGAAAAGTAATGGCTCCTGCAGGTGACATGCCAACTAAATATTTTACAGTGTTGTGGCTTTTATAAGTTGAGTACGTCTGGGCTCTGGAGGTTAAATTTGTGGGTCTGTTTATAAAAATTTCTGTGCAGTCAATAATGCACCTGCAACGCTTATATTTAGGTTTAAAACATTTTGGCATATTCTTTAATATTGCATACTTGCTTGGCCACTTAATGAGAGGTTTTAAAGTCGCAGACATGACAGGGAGCCAACTTTTCAAAATTTTCGAGACGTCACATTCTGTGACATTAAATCTAAAAGCAATATCCTTGTTGCTGAGTCCTAATCTTAGTTTCATTAGGGTAACTAATAGATGGTCCTCTAGGTTCATAGAGCTACGCACAACCTCTACACTGCCTTTAAGTTTCTGAATCAACCACTCAAAAATGACACTGGTCAGACCTGTGAAAAACAGAACATGCACCGCTTTGCTCTTGATAGAGCTAAAGGAAAACTGTGTTTTTCTGAGTGTTTCCTTTAGTTCCTCCTTCTCTGATTTCAGTTTGTTGATCTCTGAACGCAGGTTGACACACTCTGCAGAAAGTTGGCTGTACTTGAGTTTCAGCTCATCATGGAGAACCTTCGGGACTGTGGCTTCTGAAATACAGAGTAGATTGTTGTTGACTTCTAAAAGATGCACTGTTACTTGTTTTAGCTTAGATTTTCTCTATTATTTAATGTATATTTTCAGACAGCATGTGCTAAACGGAATCATTTTCAACTTTATTCACAACATAGTTATGCTGTATTGAAAAATGTATAAACAGGGTGACCTGATTCATCATAATAGTGACTGCCCTACATTAGTTAAAATGTTAGAAGTTCTTACCGATGAAAGGACCAGCACCAGGCTCCATTCTGCAGTCATCTGAGGACAGGCAAGCGGCAGAGGATTCGGATGCAACCTCATCTGTAACTTCTGTGGACAGGTGGATGTGATCTGTTGGTCTGTGTGTGGTTTCCTCTCTTGTTCTTTTCCTCTTAAATCTGATACTCAGAGAAGAGAGCAAGCAGTCAGGCCAAAATAGTTTAGTTGCTTGGTAGATCACAGAGGCTATCAGTTCCCCAAATGAAGTCAAGTGTAAATCACATAGAATCCCTCAAAGGACTTAACAAGAAAATGCAGACATAACAGAAACGATCTGGTCCAATAAATCCTCTTGGCAAAAATAATGTGACATTAAATTACTGGCCATAAATTCCCTGCTCTTCAATGCATGCAGAGAATGGATGGTGAGTAATGATGTGATCCCAGTGAGCAACTAAATGAGGTGAAAGTGACAATATTTACCTCTCAAGTTTTGCATCGCCTTTGTTTGCTTCACACTGGGTTGAGTAGGAAAAAACAGACGGGACAAAGTCAGGACTACTGAAGTCCATGGACACCTCTCCTGTACAAAAAAGTTAGGTCTGTTAGTGTTACAGTTAAATTTAGTCTGAGTTCGCTATAACCGCGTTATTAGCCAAATACTAAGTACATTTGCTAGATACTAGACCAGCTAGCTAACTGTCAGGTTAACTAACGTTACCTAGCAAGACAACGTAACGCAACTGAACAAAGGTAACGTTAAATTAGCTAGTAATTTAAGCTAGCTAGTCTCAAACTCATACATTGTTCGTTATTCTATTGTTAGATAAGTGTACTTAATACATCAGAGTTTTTGTTGTAAACTAAATCGAGTGATGATGTGGGTGATTTAGCGCAGCTTACCTGATATGAAGTGAGAACTGCAGAGTCGGGCGTTTTTAATTAGGTTGTCGTTCCAGTCGATTCTTCTGAGGGCTTGTAACCAAAGACGTCTGCGGTTGGCGTTAAAAGGAGTGTGAGTTGATGGTATTCGGTAAAACCTCAGACCTTTGTTTACAGATTTTCGATTCTGGCAACCCACTGCACAACACGACATTTTCCCGGGTTTGTTTCAGCGGCCAGCTTCTGCATCCGACATGCGCAGTTGCACCTGGGTGACGTCAGTGTGACGTAGTGTGATAATTCCCCTATTAGCTTTCTCATTCAAACACAATACATTGCGTTAATCTGACTTGAAACAGTTGCGTTTGACTTAACTCAATATTTTCATGTTTCAGTTAAGTAGACTGTAGACAGTAGACTGTTAAATTGTTCAGTTTACTTACGTTAATCCAACACGATTCTTTTCAACCTTTTTACTTAAGCCATTTGAGATTACATAAATTAGTTTAGTTGAGTTAAAATAGTAATATAGAAAACTAGGACCAGGATTTTCCCCTTCCCATCATGCTGGATAGGGGTGTACATTTTGAAATAAAACGTTATTTATGGGTGTTTTTTCATCAAGATAAAAAATTGGCTACTTGTTAATTTTTATATTAAAAGAGTTTCTGATATGTTAGTGTTTTTGGAGATTACAATTGTGGTAAAGTGTAGACTGTGGTGAGGACGTGCTAACAATAATTAAAGTGGTTTTAATAATAATAAAAACAACTACTTTGGGCATGCCTTGGATGTAACAAAACCATCTTCTAGCAATTGCCTAACAATAAGAGTCTTTACTGCGGAAAGATTTTGTAAAAGGTTATCTTATTAGATAATATTTGTAAAGGTTATAAAATTGTTGAACACAATCACTAAATAACCGAATCAATTAAACAAATGGATTATTTGTTTTGATATTAATTTTGAGATTATCGAACTTAATAGTTTTGGACAAAATTAAGAATGTTAACCTGCTTCCACTAAATGGCATTGCATTAATCTTATGTAAGAAACTTAAGTTTACTGAACTGAATAAACAATGTTAATAAATGCGACATAACCCAGTTACGTAGAACCTGTTGACATAAAAAGTTAAGTAAATCCACCATATATTTTAGATTTTCCAACAAAATTTTGATTAAACATTACAAGGTCAAACATATGCAGGGTGAATTGTTCTCAATAGATTCGTAGCGTGCATTTAGAAAGGATAGTTAGGATGCAATTTCTTTTTTTGCAGACTTTAAGTTAACTTTAACCAAAGATTAAAATGTTCAGTCCCTGTAGCGTTTATTATACTCTATAGTGAAATTAAAACACAATGTACCGATTGTATATAACCCTAAACGTCGACTTTTAAAAAGTAGTTTAAATTCTGAATAAACATATTACGTCAGTAAGATTCTTTGAAAATTGGATCATATAGCAAGAAACTCTGCGATAATGTCGAGTAACACGAGAACAGATGCAAAACTCTATACGTTACAATATCATTCTACCAATAGTGGTTTTGCTGTAACACAATGGTCTTTTCGATACATGTTGACACTTACCGATGCTTAAACAGCTTGTCTATTGTTGAAAAGATGTTGTGTGACACATATGGATTTAATACCCTGCGTTCGTAGTTATTAAATCACGCAAATTCATGTGAATACTGTCGTATATGAATAAAAGGCTAGAAGACCTGGAGTTCACTAACATGACATAGGAAACAGATATCCATGGGGCAAGTGTAAAGAAAAACACCACACAAGCATTACAATAAGAATACTGCTGTTAAGCATGATACCGTGGTAAAAGTTTCAAACAGACTGTTTTAGAAAAATGAGAACAAAATCAAAGAAACATATCTTAATTTTTACAAATGTAAATATTTATTTGTGAGATTGAGCTATATTAAACAAATTTGGTATTCACTGATGATGGACACAAACTGTTTTTCTTAAAGAAAGCCCCGATTGTGAAGACAAACATGACAAATTGTGTGCCTGTGACACCTTGACTCATAATGTGTATAGCTAATCGATAGGTTTGTTTTAAGTGTAACAGTTGTATATACAGTATGTTACAGAAAAACATCAAGCCTCACTTTTGATGTCGGGCCTATTATGTGTCTTGTGACCTCTTCGTAGACAGACCTAAAATAATATCAGTTTAAATTTTGTAATTTTCTTATGCTGTATTTGTTCATTAATTACTATATGAACATCCTTGACACTGCTCAAAGAGTAGTCTTTGTCAAAACTGTACAAAGAAACAAGATGTATACAGCGTCATCCGCTAGTGGGGGAAAATAACATAGAATCATGGTTACAAACTTTTTCAGTAAATCGGGAGAATGGGTTTCTGTATTTGTTTTAAATGGCTCATGTTGTATTTACTTTTTTTATTTTTTTATTTTATGTTTTGACTTTTTTTTTTTAGAAACTCTAGAATTTGCTTTTTTTGCAATTTTATCTGCAGGTTTTACCGAAGTGTGGAACTTTGTTTTGCAACCTCATGCTTTAATGAATATGCATCTCTCAGGGCAATAGTCAGATGTGACTCTACCGTATAGTTTAAGTGTAAAACAGCATGCACTTACTTTTTGTGTTAATACTGTGTGTGATGTTCCACATCATAGATAGAGGGAAAGTTGACCTAAACAAAGTATCAGCTTAGTCAAATATTCTCAAACAGAAAGACAATTACTTAAATGAATTGTCATTTATTCCTATAAAACGCAGAATGTTGACAGAAAAGTCTTCACCTAAAACACATACAGTCCAACATACATAATGTGAAACAGTATCATCTGCTGTCTGAACAAGATGACTAAATCTATCGGTGTAATAAAAAAGAGCTTTTCAACCCTCTATTCTTATACCCCGTACACACTGTTGTAGTAAATTGAGCACGCGTGATTGTTGCATAAAGATTATGCTTGAATTTTATCCATAGCCTTTGCAAGGGACGGGTAACGTTAGTCCTCAGATGTGATTGCATTACAATAATGTGGTACAGGCGCTCTTAACAAATCTGTCAGAATCTATTTACATATTGTAAATGTTTACTACATCTATGGAAGGATCTGGAAGTGTTTTGTTCATTATCGTTTTATGTCGACTTAAACTATTTGTATTGTTTTTAATTAATTCGTCTTTGCATAAAAATACTTCTTGATGTTAAACACCACGGGATATAATTTAAAATGTATGTTTGTCAAAAGAAAAATCATCTGTATTTAAACACCGCTTTTCTCAAAACATTGTGTCAGACGTATTTGCTATCATTATGCTCTTGTTCAAAAGAACCAATGGCTTTGTGAAAGTACACATCTTGTCTCTGAAAATGTGTGCAAATTTCTAAAAGATACAACATACCCCTTTAGAACTTGAAGAACTAAAATGGGTGATTTTCACATATTTTGTTTTGACTGTAAATGTATAAACCATTGTGCTATCTTCAAGTGCTAGGAATTATCTTTTCAGAAAAAGATGACTTTCAATAAATTACAGTTATTGGCCATTAGTCTGTGTGTGTGTGTGTGCGGTGTGTTTGTAAATGTATAAAATTGTTTAATTTAAATAGACAAATGATAGAAACTTGAATAAATTACTGATTTTATTGAGAAAAAAATCGTAATAAATAAATAAAACTAACACGTTTAAGTTGAAAATTAACTATAATGCACATATACAAGTATTTTTGTGCGTGACATGGAGTTGCATAGTTTTCATTTAGGATACTTTTTTCATACGCGACGCACTCATATACAAATAGCCTACGTATACATAACTTTACATACACCGCATGCTAAGATACTTGAAAGAGTATTCGGCCATCCACCTCCCAAGTTTCCTAAAAAATCATCCCAAACACCTCACCTGTTGTCTACCGCTTGAATCACTATGTTTTTGTTCGTTCTTTCTTTTATTATTTACGCTGTCCAAAACACCCTGGGTGCTTCTCATTTCTTATTTGTGCATCCTCGTTTCCTTTCCTCGTTTCCTATCCTCGCGTCTCAGCTCCACCCCCTGTAGGACGCGAGGGAAGGCTGCAAGGAAAAAAAATGAGGACGGAGGAATCGAATGAAAGCTTTTTTATACATTGGAATACTTGATCACTCGAGCGTCACTTCACTGCGTCATCAGCAGTGCTCAAAGGATCTGCCCTTATGTTGTTAAAGTTTGTTTATTTAAGAAATTCATAATAAATAATAATACAGCAAGATACCTTGTTGAAATTTGTGAGTTGTGTGGTTTATGTAAACTACAAAAGTAAAGTATAAATTCAAATGATTGTGACAGATGTGAAGGGGGAGGAGAATTGATAGTGCGTCATGTTTAGTCGATAAAACTCTTCCGCAAAGGGTACACCTGTGTATCCTCGCTCATAGCTCCTCTGGAAGCCTCCTCACTCCTCGATCCTCGACTCCTCGCGGTGCAATCAGAGAATTGAGATGTCCTTCAAGATGGCTGAGCTCGATTGGTTTCCGGGTCATAGGATGGAGGACGGAGGAGCGAGGAGACGAGGAGGGATATTGAGAAGCACCCCCTGTCCTGTTGCGCTCCGTATCTCTCTGTTCAACATTCAAATCCTTCCGCGACCCCGCTCTGCCAGAAAGCTGGCGTCATTTGCTGGCGGAAAGCCTGAAATTACCGTAATAAGCCGTATATTGTCGAATGCATCCATTTGAAATGTTTTGATAGTGGAAAAGGCTAAACCGTTACGGTAGCAGGAATACTGCTTGCTGTTGTGTGTCGATGGACAAAATACTGCTTACATATCTTTGTATAAATTCCCAGCCGGCACACGACCGACCTTCAACGTTGAAATATGGTCGAAATAATGTCAGTTGTTGTTTCAACGTTGAAACAACGTTGATATAACGTTTAATGCTAAATGGTTGAAAACCAACCGGTACATGACCAACCTTCAACGTTGAAATATGGTTGAAATAATGACAGTTGTTGTTTCAACGTTGAAACAACGTTGAAATAACGTTTAATGCTAAATGGTTGAAAAAGGTTAACAAAAACACTTCTAAATCAACGTTGAAATTTTTACAAGATCTGTACGTTGAAACAACGTAATGTTTTCAACAACATACAACAGAAATATCTGCCTTTTAACGTATCATTATGATAATTAATTAGCATTTAATGATTTTTTGATCATAACAGCTCTTCAGTGTATATGTTAAAATATAA